GGCGCAGCATCAACTTTCTCTTGGCACTCATTGGTGAGTCTTCGGAAGCGTGGACCAATCAAAACCGTCTTCGTGTCTCCAGCCCCTCCCGTCCTCTGCTCTTGAAAGCTGAGGGCGGGTCCCTTCTCGGCCGGCCCAATGGAGCGCCATAAGGGCCGGTGATTGGCTGCCGCGACGGGCTCTGTTAAACCGGATTGGCCGGTGGCGGAGACGGAAACTGCCCCAGCACCTGAGCTGTCGGAGCCCTGCCGGGGCGATGTGGAGCGCGGTCTGCGGCCGAGCCGCTGGACTGGCGCAGCTGGGACTGCTGCTGGCGCTCTTGGCGGCGGGCAGCCGTGCCGCCAAGCCCGGCGTGGAGCTCGTGACCTGCGGGTCGGTGCTGAAACTGTTCAACACGCAGCACAGGGTGCGGCTGCACTCGCACGACATCAAATACGGATCTGGTGCGCGGGGCAGTGGACTGGAGCACCGCCAGGGGGCGGGACCCGGGGCAGGGAGTTTGAAGGCGGGGTGGTCGTGGGGGATCTTCGGGCCAGGAGTGTGGGAATCATCGGGGAGCCGGGCTGGGGGACTGGAGTTGTTGGGGGATCGAGGGGGACAAGGACCGGCGGTTTGAGGGAATCGTCGGGATATCGGGGCGAGGAGGGTAGTCCGGGAGCGGAGAGGCATGGAGCCTTTAGCCGGGGGGTAGGGGGGCTGGAGGTGAGTCGTTTGGGTCCCAGGGTCGAGGTTGTCCGGGAAACTTTATGGCTTCCGGCTAAGGGTGGGGAGTTCCGGGATTGAGCTAGACCCCGGGGTGGGCTGTCGCCCCTCAGGCAGCGGCCAACAGTCGGTGACAGGCGTGGAGTCATCTGACGACGCCAATAGCTACTGGCGGATCCGCGGCGGCTCGGAGAGCGGGTGTCCGCGCGGGTCCCCGGTGCGCTGCGGGCAGGCGGTGCGGCTGACGCACGTGCTCACCGGCAAGAACCTGCACACGCACCACTTCCCGTCGCCGCTGTCCAGCAACCAGGTGAGCCCCCTTCCCAGCCCCAGGAGAGGCTCCTGGTGTGTGTACGAGGGGCCGGGGACAGAGCCTCAGCCCTTCCTCTCGCCTGCTCTAAGCCTCAGCTTGCTCTGTGAAATTGGAATTTCAGTTCAGAAGTGTTTACTGAGCGCCCCTTCTTGAGACACAGAGGTGACTTGGTTGGGGTCCCGCGCCTAGGAGCTCTTGGCCCCGAACAGAGACAGAGAAGAGAGATCTGGCTGAACAGTTTCTCTTCTGGGGGCCAGCTGGACACCGGAGAGGGATCTGCCCGGCCTTTGGTGTGGGGAGTGGGGAATTCCAGTGGAGAGGAGGGACTCAGGCTGGGTCTAGAAGGATGAGTAGGAGTCCTCCAGGCCACAGAGGGGAGACAGTGGGCTGGGGAAGAGCTTGTGCTTGGAGTTCACTGGAACTGGGTGGGGGGAGGGGGTTGCTGATGAGGGAGGGTGTGGAGTGGTGCTTTTGGGGAGTTCTCAGAAGAAAAATTATGAGATAGAGACCTTGACTTGACAGCCTGAGGGGTTGACCTTTATGCTGAGTGAGGGTCAGAGGGGTTAGGACGGGGAAATGTGGAGGAGAGAGGAGGAGGCCTTAGCTCTGTGGGGGCCAGTGGTTATCTCCCAGAGAGATGAGGTGAGGCATGTGCGTTAGAAGAACCCTTGTTGGGGAGGGCCTGCTGGGTGTCCGGGGTGGGGGTCGTGGTGGTCCATTTTGCAGCCGTGGAAGCAGAGGCTCAAAGAAAGACCCAAGGCCCAGTATCCTGAGTGTGAGTGTTTCTGCCAAGCAAGTGACCTTAGGGGACTCAGTGTGCCCTCTGTGGTGACCCGTTCTCCACCTCCTCACCCCTAGGAGGTTAGTGCCTTTGGGGAAGACGGTGAGGGTGACGACCTGGACCTGTGGACAGTGCGCTGCTCAGGGCAGCACTGGGCAAGGGAGGCTGCTGTGCGCTTCCAGCACGTGGGCACCTCTGTGTTCCTGTCGATTACGGGAGAGCAGTATGGAAGCCCCATTCGTGGGCAACATGAGGTGCACGGCATGCCCAGCGCCAACATGCACAATACGTGGAAGGCCATGGAAGGCATCTTCATCAAGCCCAGCATGGATCCCTCTGCAGGTCATGATGAACTCTGAGCACCTGGCTGGGTGGACGGAGGGCAGCAGGGTGTGGGGCATCTGCTGGGCTACTCTTGGTGGAGACTTTGGGTTTGTAGGGGTTCTCAAGTGCCTTTGTGATTAAAGAATGTTGGTCTGTGATTGTGTTTTACTGTGAGCCTGGGGGTTCACAGCCCTCCATGGGCTGTGTTTACCATGGCCCAGTTTACCATCTCTTCCTCGGTCAAAACCTTTGTCTTCAGCACAACTTGACAGCTGAAGCCATTCAAACCTTTTTAATGATCTTCTGTGCACTCAGTCACTGCTGTGGGTGACTAGAGTCCCCTTCTCCTTTAGTCTGATGGCAAGTAACCCCAGTTTTCCAGCCCAAGACCTTCATGAACCTTTCTGGTAAGGCCTGGGGCCAGGGCCAGGGCCTCAGGAGGAGTGGGAGTCCTACTCCCTGCCAGCTGGGATGGGGCCCCCCATTCTCCTGGCACCCCTCCCCTAGCAGTTATGGCAGTCTTGACACTTGCCTATGCTCAAGCACCAGGCCAGGATATTACCCATCTGCTGGAAGTTAGCATGACAGCTTCCTTCAGTCCTGGTGCAAATGGCACCCCACACCCACAGCCTGCCCAGGCGTGTGGCATCTCAGGCCTCCATTAAAATCTTCCAAGGTCCCAAGGAGATAACAAAACTTCAAAAGATATCACAAGGGAGAAGGTAGCCGCTGGGAACTGCTACATGCAGAGATCTGGTAAGGCTTCCTAGAAGAAGGGGAACAATTTGGGTGGCAAATCATTGCAACTTCAAAGCAGGAACAAGAAAAAATGAGGGCCCTAATCAGGGAAGGTAGGTTAATTTTGCTGGTGTGTGGGTGACCTCTAGAGGTTATAATGGAGACTACAGGCTGCCTGGACTTGCTAACTTGGCCCAAGTGGGGCCGCTTTCCTGAACAGGATAAGCCCAAGAAGAGGCTGGAGGTAGCAAGTGGTTAGAAGGGTCTTGGAGAAGTGTGGGCAGAGCACCTTACATTTGAGAAGTCAATTTACCTTATTGGGGTGGGTGAAAGCTCTAGCAGATTGTGAGGCCTGAGGGGAGAAGGGCTGTGTGCAGGCCCTGGGTCCTTAACCCCACACCCTCTCCCCCATGAGCTCCTGCTCTGCTCAAACATTGATCCCTCCACTGACAAACCTCTTAAGCATTGTCTGTAAGTCTACACTCCTCTCCCATCACTCACCTGACCTGAGACAGGGTTGGAATGCCAGTCGATTATTGGAAGGCAATCCCAGAAAACACTGAGCCAGAGGAATGAGACCATGGTGGGAGAAGGCAGACAACTGGTGGAGTTTGCATTACTGAGCGAGTTCCTCCTGTGGGCTACTGGAGCCTAATCCCGCTGGGGAGCTCTGGGACCTAGGGTAGAACATGCATGGAAGCTATCCCAACCACGGGCCAAGTTGGTGGGGGTACTTATCCAACCAAAGTATCTCCCTTCATTGACTGAGGGCTGCTGGGAAGGTAGGAGCATCACTCTGCAGCCCTTGCCCTGTGCACTGGGAAATGTCCCTGAGGGCTGCAGCCAGAATAAAGCCCTCAGGCAGAGCCACGGTACTTACAGGGAGCATCCTCCGTGGAGGTGAGTGCTCTGGGATGTGGGCAGGGCACCAGCAGTGTGGGCCACACTCTGCATATCCAAGGGGCACTCCTCTGGTCCACCCATGGCTGCAAGAGTCCACTTGGGCCTCCATTACCTCCCTACTACCACACACACCTAAGTGAGGAGTGTTAATTTAGAGCAGAAATAGACAGGGCAAGCATGTAAGAGTCCTTGGGAAACCAAGGCAGAAGCTGTGGGAGCAGGTAAGACGGCTCCAGGCAGAATGCAGGACAAGACCAAAACTTAAAACTGCAGTGGCAGCAGAGCTCATTTACTGAACATTAAGTACTGGGCGCTGGGCCAGCATTTACACAGCATCTCATTTGCTCCTGGTTATCGTCTTAATTTTACAAAAGAGGTTCGTGAAGATTCAAATCCATGTTTGCCTGTCTCAAAAATATTTGCTCTCAGCCATTGGACTAAGGAAGAAACAGGAGGGGTGCCAGATGTACAGTAGCCTAAACATACAACGAACACACACCCAACTATGTGAGGGCCAGGTGGTCTGTATCCTGCCCGGCTGTCAGCCGAGGGCAGGCACTTAATGAATGCTTATTCACAAAATGGATCGCAGTCACAGAGGAACCCAAGCCAACATCCCTTCCTTGTACTTCCCACAGATCCACAAGGCTCCATGGGCTCAAGGGCACGTTCTCTGCAGACCAGGCCGACCCGGGAGGCTTCGGGCAAATCCCACTTGGGTCAAGCCGGACAATGAAATGGAGTTCGGTAGGGAGGAGGGCTACCCCGTCCAGAAAGCGCACCACAGCCGAATATCCCGTTTGGGAGAGGCTCAGGGAGCGAAGTCAGCACACAAAACGAGGCAACTTGCGGCCCTGCTCCACGGTGGGCTTGACAGCCCCCCTCTCCAGTGCGATCAGCCTCGCTGCTGGCGCCGACCACGGGGCTTCCTAGAGCTCTTGCCAGCCACGCTGGAAAACTCGCGGAGGCTGGAGCTGCGAAAAGGCGGGCAAAGTTCCTTTTGATAAGTTATGAATGGGGAGAAAGTGTTTGTAGAACTCATTGTTAAAACCACGGGGCAGGAGATTAGGCGAGCGTCAGGCCAATAGGAACCCGAAGGCTATTTTGAAATCTTTTTTGTCTCAGCCAATAGGCACGAGGGAGGTGAAGCTCCGCGCCGGCGCTGGCCAATGAGCGCGGCGTTATGCTAAGGAGGCGGTGGCCGAGCCGCGCCGACTGTCAGCGGGTTAAAGATGGAGCCGGCGGGAGAGAGGGCGCCACGAGGTGCGGGGTCGTCCTGGTGGGGACGATAGGGGCGAATGACCTACAGGACTGATCTCCCGCTAAGCCTCCGCGTCCTGCGCTGGTTCGGGGCTGAAGGGGTGTCCCGCCGCGTGAGTAGCAGGGTCCCAGATGGGGGGCGCGGGCGGGCGGCCCCACCCCACGGGACTGTGTGGAGGGGCGCAGCCCGGAGCCCGGGCGCCCTCTCCGGGCAGGGGACTCCAGAAGGGCGGGAGGCCTCCCCCGTTCCTCTGCTCCTCGCTGGACCACCGAGCAGAGAATCTTTTAGGACAGAATGCGGAGCCCAAGTTGCGGTCCAGGGGCCAGGGAAGGGGCCTGAGCTACCACGCGGGCGTCGTCTGGAGTGGGGCCACCCTTCTCCCGGACCCCGCGGGCCGGGTGAGGGCACAGGGTCGTGGGGCTGTACCCACTCCCACCCGGGGCGCGAGTGGGCTTCGGACTGAGGTGGAACGCGGGGCCTTCTCCTTTGTGTGGGCGCCTCCTCCCCTGTCTGCTCCTGCTTTGGGGTGGGAGCTACTCCTCAGTCTGGGGTCTCGCTCCCACCCCAGTCTGGAGCGTGCTGAGGAAGGTCCGGGTGCCCTGGGGTCCTGAAGACCCTGAGGACTGCAGCCCTGCTGAAATCCTCCTCCACACCCTGATGCCCAGGACTGGGCCTCTAGCCCCACCCACCCACCCACAGTTGAGCTTCCCGCCTTGCGTGTATAAGGGGCGGCGGGAGTGTCCCCCCTGCTGGCTGCAGGTGCTCTGACTAGGTTGCACTACTGTGCTCTGAGAAGCAGTGCAATGATATTGTCAAAGCATCTGGAACCAGCCTTGGGGACCCCCTCCCCCACACCTTCCTCTCCTCGCCAGGCCCAGCAGGCCCTCTGGGCCTGCTGGCCTCCCCCACTTGCCCAGCTCACTCCCTTCTCCATGGAAACTTGAGAACTGGCCAGGCCTGGGCCTCTGAGGTCAGAGGGCACCCTTCCTCCCGGCACAGGCCCCACCCCAGTACGCCTGCATTCCAGGTCTCAGAACCCTACAGACCACCAGGAGAGGCGCTGGAAGGTCTGCCTGACACTCTTTCCCTGTTGCACTACTGTGGGCTGCTGGGAAGCAGTGCAATGATGAAAGGGCATCGGTCAGGCCTAGCCCACCCACAGCGCCTGGGGAAGGTAGTTTTGCTGCCTTACACTTCCCAGCAGTTAAGTGCAGGTGCAGAGCTGGGCTGGACCCTCCATTAGAGCATTAGGTGAATGCAGGCTTGGGCAATCATCCCACAAGCTCTCCATCTGGGTCTTGGCTGGATACGTGCAGGCGCAGAGGCTCAGGATTCAGAAAAGCTCTGGTTTGAGCGTATCTTTCCACACCAGTTCCCATGGTAAGACTGGGGACTCCAGGTTTGGTCTGGGCTTTGTAGAGAAATAGAGACCTGTTGTTTTCTACAGACGATCTGCCAGGGCCTGCTCAGGCCCAGCTCAGGCCCAGCTCATCCTTGACCTGGAGGCAAACAGGGCTCAGCCCTTCTTGAAGACATGCAGGAGGGCCAGATTCTGGAGATAATGTTCTTTTGGGTTCTCAGCAGGAACAGCACTATCTGGGGTGGGTAGGAGGACTTGGGATATGAAGCCTGCAGTGGATGCCCACCAACCATGCCAGCTTGTTTTCTTACAGGGAGATATGCTGTCCTGAGCCTGCAGGAGGGACTGTGAGGTGCCTGGCATGCCCATCATCGTAGCTGCAACTAGGGGGATTGGAGCTGAACTGCCAAGGAACCTGGTCCCACAGGTGTGCTTGCAGGGCCATCTGTACGATCAGGGCCTGACTCAATGCAAAAGGTTTTTATGTGCCTGGTCACACTCATTCAAGCCTATCTCCTTAAAAGGAGGACCAGATCTCCACATAGATAGTTGAAAGTACCCCTCACCCCTGGCTGAGTACATCAAGATACCAGCTTCACTCCTACCCTGGAGGGAGAAGTCCTGGCTCCCAGTAGGAAGGATGAGGGGTAAAGACACATGTTCCTCTCCTCCCAAGCCTGGCCCCTTCGATAGGGTTTCTCCATCCCAAGGCCACTAACTTAGGCCTATCCTCCCTTTCCCTTGGTTCAGGTGCCATGGTTAGAGGTGGGCACCCTTTCTCCTGTGCAGATTCTACACCCTGTAAACTCAGGGCTCTGCTCAAAGGTTCCCTCGGGGAAGCCTTTCCTGGGCTCTGCAACATCCAGTGTCCTTCCAGCAGAGCTCGTTAGAGCTAAATTCTCTCCTTGTGGCTGAGGTTCCCATTGGACCAGAAGTTTCTGAGGCTAGGATCAGGCCATTTTTTATTTCTTTTGCCAGTGCCTGGCACAAAGGAAGGGCCCAATACACTTTTTAGAAATGCAAATAAATGTCTAAAGTATGAAATAGTATTAGTAAAACATGATGGGGGGATTAATCAGGGGTCTGCTTGACCTTTCAGAGGATGCTTGTCCTGTTTATAAAAAGGAACATACTACAAATTTTAGAGTGAAATCTCGTTTTGTAAGTCACAGGAGTCAGGAAGCATGAGGGAGATTTGAACCCAGGTGTATCCAAGTTGGCCTGCGCCCCTGGGCAAATACACAGGCTGGACCTGCTCCCTCCTTGGTTGTCTCCAACTCGCTCTCTGACCTCAGCAGGAGGAAGTGCGTGCCACCGCCTGTGGCGGGGAGACCTGAGGCTGGGGGCTGGTGGTTTGGCAGTGGGAGGTGGAAACTCAGATTTCTCAGGTACCCAGTACATCTCAGGGCTGGTGGGGGCGTGTGGATGGGCAGGGAGGAAGCAGTCGAAGGTGCACCCCCTCACTAGTGGCTGGGGTGGACGGTGGTGTCAGCACTGACCGAGTCGGAGAGGGAGAAGAGAAGCAGGTTTCTGCAGCGTAAGTGAGCAGCCGTGCGCCGTTCCTGATGTGCTCGGCACGAGATGTCTGGAATACACCCGATGAACACTTGGATGTGGATTTGGAGCCCAAGGGAGGCCTGAACCGGAGACACAGGGTCGGGTCAGGAAGGTCGGCTCTGGGCTGGGGCCGAGAGGTGGGTAAGATCGTCCAAGATGGTATGGCGAAGACCAGACCTTCTGAAACGCGTAAGGAGCAGCCGGAATGGTGGTGAAGAGGCGACCTCAAGTACAAGGCAAAGTGGTTGTGAATGGGAGGGGAAAGGACGGAAGGTGGAGAGGGGTGGGTTTGATGCTGGGGAGGAAGAGGGTGAAGAGTCCGGGCCTAGAGGAATTAGGCGCAGAGTAAATCCTTAGGGCAATGTCTGCAGACAGGAAGAGGGGGAGCAGCTGGGACGGAGAGGGGGCTGGAGGCCGGCCTCGTGGTGACCGCCTTAAAGGGTTGGAAAAGTCAGATGCTGACCAGTTCTTGGCGTGGCCCTCATCAAAGCCCTGCTGTACCCCATTGGGACGGGCCTCCACTGCGCAGAACCGTGTTCGTCCCGTCGAAGGCACGAGAGCGCATGCCCAGAGCGGCGGGCATTGTCACGTGCGCCGGTCTCGCGGCCTCTGGCTCCAGCCGGCGAACTCGGGGGTTCGCGAGCGCCGGGGCCGCGGCGGCTGGAGCGGAGGGAACCAACGGCGGCAGTGGAAGAGAGCCGGTGCGTCCCCCTGGCCGCCTCCCCGTCGGGTCCCTGCCGCCTGCGGTGACCCGAGCCCTGGCCTGCGGCCTGCGAGAGCGGCCCTTCTCCCCCGACCCGGGGCGGGAGGGGGACGCCGCGCCCTGAGCCTCTCGGCGGCCCAGCCCCGACGGCTGCTCCACCCCCAGGCACTCGGGACCGCCGTCACCCCTCCGGGATGGAGGTCCTGGACGAGTTCGACGGCGAGTTCCCCCAGAGTGTGACCTTCTGCCAGCTCATCTCCGAAGAGGACTTCGAGTGGCAGGCGGCGACCTACACGGAGCACGCGCTGCGCCGCCTCTTCCACAGCCTGGACAGCAACCCCGCGCTGGCCGAGAGGGTGGTGCGCCGGGGCAAGCAGGCCGAGCGCGAGCGGCGCGGGCTCCTCTCCTTCCTCTGGGTGCGGCCGGCCGGCGGGCTGCAGACTGACCTCCAGGGCGGAGCTCCGAGGAGAGGGGATTGCAGCTGGGGGGTGGGGGGGTGGTCGGCGAGCCAAGCCCGAGCCGCAGGGTAGGGTGCCCCAGAAAACCGCGGCGGCGCGGCCTGGGGAGAGCAGCGGGCAGGCGTCTCATGTCGCGGCTTCCTCCTGCCCCTCCTCGCCCGCTGTTGTCACAGGCGAAGTTCGTCTGTGCCGTCCAGGGGGAGCTGAACTGTTGCAACAGCGTGGGCGCCCTGGAGATGCAGCAGCGCCTGGAACAGCTGAAGGAGCGCATCCACCGCGTGCACCTCTACTCACAGGGTGAGGCCCCGGGAGCCCAGCAAGCTCGACCCAGGACGCCTTGTCCCCGGTCCTGTGCTTGGCACTTTTTTTTTTTAATTTTGAAGACTTATTAAAGTCTTCATTTTTGAAAACAAACAACAAAACTAGCGAATGAACACTCCAGCCCGGTCACCCAAAGTTGCTTGCTCCCCCCATCTTGCCACGTGTTTCGCTTTTGAGAGTCCCTGACATTTGGCTCATCCTTCGTCCTCCCTGGGTCGTTACACACTTGGTCTGTTGTCAGGACCCAGCAAGGCCCACACCTTGGTTTAGGTGTCAGACCTCTTAGGTTCCTTTTCCCTGTCATGACCATATAATTTGTGTCCACCTTGGGACACCTGTGAGAGTGAAATGGAAAGGGGCCACATTACTGACCACATGGAGGACAAATGAGGGCCCATGGCCACATCTGTTGAAGTCCCCTTTGAGATTGGATGCCCTCCCTTTTTTCCCCACCAACTCATGAACCTGAAAAACTGTTGTCTTTTGTGGTATCCCACTATATGAATTCATATCTGTTGTCATGGTCCCCTGGTGGTGGTCATTTTGATCCCCCTCTGCCTGTATTTCTTGGACAGTCGCTCTAAAGCCTTGATTAGATTCGGGTTTCGTTCTTTTAATGTATGTTCAGTGATACACTCCATTGGTGGTGGGGCTTTGTTCTGTATGACCTCGGGGGGGCCCTCTTTGCCTGGGGGATTCCACTTGAGCTCAGATCTGGGTTGCTCCTGGGGCCGGCCCTCAGCCTCCAGGCCAGTGTTCCCAGGCGGTGGTGGTGACTGTCATTCTGGGTGAGCCATTCTGGTGGGTTGTATGAGGAGTCTGCTGGTGATTTCCAAGTCTGAACAGAAATAGCCAACCTTGTTGATTGCAGGAGAAAGAGCCAAGGTGGAGAGATAGGAGGGAGTGAACCCCCAAAGCTTACCTCCCTGAGCCCACCTCTGCAAGACCTCCTCCATGTGGGTTTCTCACAGAGGAAGGGCCATTTGCCCACCCTGGGTGGCCCTGGTCTGGGTGTAGTCAGCAGGCTCACTGTCCAGGGCCTGGATACCCCTGAGGTTGCTGGCAGGCTCCGCCTTCCAAGACGTGTGGGGCTGGCTGGCCAACCGAGCTGCTTGGGCCCCGCCCCGCCCTCCTCAGGGGTGGCACTCCAGCTCTGCCTGCGAAATTCCGCCCTTGGAGTCAGACAGCAGGGGACTGGTCCTGCCTGTGCCTCCTATAGTTGGAGCTTCCGGTTCCACGTGTAGGATAGAGACAAAGGCCACCTTTCCCCGAGGGGTAGTTCTGGGTTTGGTAAGATGGTGTATGTTGGCTCCTGTCAACAGTGGCTCTAGGTGTTGTTTCACGATGCCCTTCGGCGGGGCCCTTGGTGGAGGGACTGTGTGGAGCCCCTGCACCGCTGTGTTTGGCCCCGTTCTGCCCTGTTCTGGCCGCAGGGTAGGCACTCACTAGCACTTTTGGTCATAGGTGCCAAGAAGAAGAGAAGGAAGCCAGAACCCATCCTTTTGCGGGACCGACCCACCTCTGCGTGCCTGCCTTCAGCTCTGCCGGCACCTCCATCGTTGCCACCAACTGCCACCACCACGGCTGCCCCGGCGGCCCCAGCAGCCCCTGTGTACACTATGCCCAGGGTCTTTGGCCCCTTCCCTGTGCTGCCCAGCGAGTCGGTCAGTGGGTGCATCCTCACCCCCCTGCTCAGAAGCACCCTGGGGGCTCTTCTGTGCCCACAGCAGTGGCTCTCAGAACTTTGTATATAAGCAGCAGAACCTTCTGTGCACACAGTTGGGTGGAGCGGCAATGGCTGAAGCAGACGGAAGGGGGGCTGCTCTGGTTGAACGGTGGGGTATGGTTGAAGGCGGGGAGCTCCACCTGCTTGGCCTCAGCTGGGCAGGGCAGTCCCAAGTGCTCTGGCAGAATCCTCCCAGAGGGCAGGTGGAGGACCACGTCTGCAGCCCCACGCCTGCCTCTCCCCGTGGGCGGTGGTGGTCTCCCTGCCGCCCTCTGAGTGCCTCTTCGGTGCCTTTCTAAGTCCTGCCTCTCCTGGCCCCTGCTTCACCTGCACTCTCACTGCAGGCAGCCCTCCAGCCCCCAGCCCCTCCTGTCTCCCTAACGCCGAGCTCAGGGTGGGCACCGGCGATGAGCCTGAGATGACTTGTTGAATGAATGACATTCAGGCAGCTTTCACAGTCCTTGTATAAGGTGTTTCTCTTCACAGCAAGGCCCCCAAGCTTGTCCTAAGATTTCCTTTGTTTCCTGCAGGTGGAAAACATAGAAGTTTCAAGGTCAACAGTGAAATTAAACTGGACTAGCCTGTCATCAAACCCAAAGAGGTGGAAGGAATTTATTCTGGGCTCATGGCAAATGAGAAATTTTGAAGAGGATTTTGTGAACATGTTGTGGGCCAAGCTGGTTTGCCATTTCTCCCTACTTCTTAGTTAACCCTGAGTGTGGTTATTCTTATTTTCAGGGGAGGAGTCCAGGCCCCGAGGTCTGCTCTATGTAGGGGAGTCCTTATGCCCACGTCATAGAAGTGCACCCCGAGGCTAGGGAGGGCCTGCCTGACATCCCCCTCTCTGCCCTGTCTTGCAGCCACATGGTAGATCTGACCCCCGTGGTCCTCAACCCTGGAGGCGTCCATTTCTCGTACCTGGCTGGGAACAGTCCAGACAAGCTCCATGGCCCTGACTTCCCCTGGTAAGTGTGCCTCTGAGCCTCCCTGGGGCCAAACACTGCCCTGGCATGGCCCCAGCCCAGCCTCTGACTGGCATCATGGCAGTGTGCATGGCAGCTGGAAAAATGTTCCATGGGACGGTCCTTTCCACTTCCAGGAAGGTCTGTAATGGAATTGGGGCTGCAGGAAAAATTGTTCCCCCTCCTAATGTTGGTAACGATAAGAAACCAGAAACGAGAAACTCAGGAGGCCTACGAGAAAGGGCACAGTTCTGTCACGGTGGGCAGTCCCGTGGTTTATACACATGCCTGTTTTGCAAAGGAGGGGCTACTGAACAGGCTTTTTTCTTTTTTATCATTTTTTTCCACTCATGGTGTTGTTAAGTACTCAGTAATGTCACTGAGTGTTATTCCAAAGTGTAATTTAGACTACCAACTTCACTGCATCAGACGACTTTTTAAAAAAAATAAACTTTTAGAGGGATTGCAGATGCACAGGAAAAACGGAGCAGGAAGTACTGAGAGGTCCAGTGTATCGCCTGCCCCTGTGCAGACACAGCCTCCCCCTCTAGCAGCCTCTCCCACCAGAGTGGTTTGTTACAATTGCTGAACCTATGCAGACACATCATAATCACCCAGTCCCAGTTTACATTAGGGCTCGCTGTTGGGGTGCACATTCTTTGGGTTTGGACAGAGGTCTGAGGACAAGTACCCACCATTATCATGTCATACAGAGTAGCTTCGCTGCCCTAACAGTCCTTTGTGCTTTAGTTATTCGTCCTCCCTCCCCTAACCTCTAACTACTGTTGACCTTTTTACTGTTTCCATAGTTTTGCCTTTTCCAGGCTATCATACAGTTGGAACCCTACTGTAGCCTTTTCAGAGTGGCTTATTTGACTTAGGTTCCTCCATGTCTTTCCATGGCTTAATAGTTCATTTCTTTTTAGCACTGATAATATTCCATTTTCTGGATGTACATTTTATGTATTCACCTACTGAAGGACATCGCAGTTGCTTCCGACTTTTGACAATGATGAACGAAGCTGCCATAAACATCTGTGTGCATGTTTTTATGTGGACATAGTTTTCAGCTCCTCTGGGTAAATGCCAGGGAGCATGATTGCTGGATCGTATGGTGATAATAGATTTGGTTTTGTAAGAAACCACCAAACTGTCTTCCAAAGCTGCTGTGCCGTTCTGCATTCTCACTAGCAATGAATGAGAGTTCATGTGACTTCTTATGTAAGAAACTCATATAGTTCTGTAAAGATGATTCTAAATTCCCAGTTGATAGAAAGTTTACTGAAGAAGACACCCAAAGAGAAAGCACACCTTTAAAAATTGTTTTTGGTTCCCTTAGTAATGAAAGACTTACACATGAAGGTTGCTAGGATGTATGTTATAAGCTTATCAAAAAACCCAAAGTAAAGAGAATGCTGTGCTATCAAGGCTTTAGGAAGAGACTCATTTTTACGGTGAAAATAGAAAATGGCTTTGTCTTTTGTTTAATCCTTTACTGAGGTAACTACACAGCATATCATTCATCCATTTAAAACATACACTTCGGTGGCTTTTTGCATATCCACATTTGTGCAGCCATCACCACAGTCCAATTTTTGAACCTTTTTATCCCCTCAAAATGAAGGGAGGGAAAAGACAACTCAGAATGGGAGAAAATATTTGCAAATCAAGTCACCAACAGAAAAACAGCCACTCTAGAAAACAAGCATAGGACTTGAGTAGATTCATCTTTAAAAAAGACATACAAATGGCTAACGAGCACAGGAAAAGATGCTCACCACCGTAAGATCTCAGGGAAATGCAAGGAAAACCACAGCGAGTTACCGCTTCACACCCGCTAGGACAACTGTAATAGAAAAGAGCAAGCGCTGGTGAGGACATAGAGCCATTGGACCGTGGGTGTGTGGCTGGTGGGAATGTAAAATGGCCAGCCGCTGTGGGGAAGGGTACGGTGGTTCCTCATACATCATAGCAAAATGTTAAGTAGAGAATTGCCCCAGCAATCCTACTCCCAGGTATCTGCCCTAAAAGACAGGTAGGTACTCAAACAGATAGTTGTATATGAACATTAATGGCACCATCATTTGCACCATCTCCAGAAGGAGGAGACCAAATGTATCCAAGACAAAATGTGACCTCTTCATATAATGTAATGTTATCCAGCCATAAAAAGCGATAAAGTTCTGGCACATACAACATGGATGAGCCTTGAAAACACTACCCTAAGTGAAATAAGTCCACACAAAAGGACAAATTACTGTGTGATTCTGCTTACAGGGGGCATCTAAAATAGGCAGAGCCATAGCCATAAAATAGATTAGAGGTTGCCAGGGCTGGGGTGGCAGGGATGGGGAGGCATTGCTCAATTGGTCATTTCTGATTAGGATGATGAAAAAGTTCTGGAAATAGGTAGTGGTGATGGGCACACACATCATGGTGAGTGAGTCTAATGCCTCTTAATTGTACTCTTGGAAATGGTTAAAGTGGTTAATTTTATGTATGTGTTACCACCATAGAAAAAAAAAAAACCCTCCTAAACCCAGCTCCTCCTTCTGGCCCTAGGCAACCATAACCTACTTTCTGTCTAGATTTGCCTGTTCTGGCCATTTCTATACGTGGAATCATGGTATAGACTGGTCCTTGGTATCTGGCTTCTTGCACTTAACGTAATGTTTGCAGGGTTCTTTCATGTTGTAGCATGCACCAGTACTGAATTTCTTGTTTCTCTAATTCCTTCTTTAAGACTTTTTCTAAAGAGCAGTTTTAGGTTCACAGCAAAATTGAGAGGAAGATGCAGAGATTTCCAGTACTTGCCCTGTGTGCACACATGTGTGACATCACCCACCGGAGTGGTGCTTGTAGACAATTGATGGACCTACATTGACATCACAATTGCTTGAAGCCCATCAGGGTTCCATTTGGTGTTGTACATTCTCTGTGCTGGCCTTCTTTTTATGGTTGAATAATATCTCATTGTATGGATATACCACTTTTTTGTCCATTCATGGGCATTTGATGTTTCCACTTTCTGACTTTTGTGAATGGTGCTGTTATGAACATTCTTGTACAAGCTTTTGTGAGGACAGAGTTTTCAATTTTTGTGAGTATACTTTCAAGAGTAGAATTGTTGGGGCATGGTAACTGTGTTTAATATTTTGAAACACTGCCAGAGACACAAGTCCCTTATCAGACATATGATTTGCAAATATTTCCTCCCATCCTATGAGTTGTTTTTTAATTTTCTAGATGGTGTCCTTTGAAGCACAAAATTTTAAGGCTTAGTCCTTTTGAAGGGCACTCTGCCAAAACATATCAGGAGCCATAGCAGTTCTCAAATTTTTGGAAACTGGCCCCAAGGAGATGATTAAGGGAAAGAAAAAGGCAATTCGGGACAAAAATATTATGGCAGCATCGGTTAAAAAGAGAAAAACTGGAAACAGCTTAAATGTGCAATAATGCAATGATGGAATATTGTTCAGGTGTTAAAATTACAAACATGATTATGTAGATTAATGAATTTCACCTAAGTGGAAGCAATAGGCTATTGAATCAGATTGGAAGGAGGTAGGAAAATGACTGCTGGGTGACAGAGAAGGGATTGTCAGCGTACGCTTTTGGGGTGGTGTTGCAAAGCAAAATTTAGAAATAAAATATTATTTAGCATAATCAGGTCCTCACAGAACAGTGGAGCCATATAGCAGGACTAGTTCATCATCCCAGCATATCTTATAGCTTTTCCTAGGCTATTTTTGTAGAGTTTTATATTAAGTTGTGATTCAATTAGACAATGTCTTCTTTTTCAATCTTACCTTTGTGACTTAACATCAAGGCCCTGGGGAGTTGCACACGTCCTGAGAGTCTTTTGAGCTCAAGCTTCATTGGCTGTGTTAATAAACGTCTGCTGTACGTAGCTCCATCACCCACTTAACCCCACTAGGTGCTCCCGTGAACCCATAAGGGCTTTCCAGTTTCCCAGTAGTATACAGCTAATGCTGGGATTAACATCTTTATGTGTTAAGATGTTCTTGAATTTCAGATTAATTTCCTGTGGTGGAATTATAAGGGGAAAGATACAAACAGTTTTCAAAAGGACTACCATTTTTCAGATTCTAAAATAATATGTACTTACTTTAGATAATTTGAAAACTACACACAAAAGACACACCAAACCACTCTTATTCCCACTGCCAGAATAACCTCTGTTAATAGGCATTTTCCAGCGGATACACAAGCATGTACACACAGGATAGTTTGTTACCTAGTTGGAAGCTTTGGAATGTGTTTCTTTCTATTCTTTAAAAATACTTTTAAATTCACCAGTAATATGATGCAGAATACTCCATTGTATTTTGCTTGTTGAACTATTTCACTAATGGGGACAATTTTTAGGCTCTTGTTACATATTGCTTAATGAACGAGCTTTGCTGTCATGGTGCCATCAACCAGAAATGGATTATATTTCATTGGTTTTAAAAAGTTTACAAAAGCAGAACCTACTCCATGGAAAAAATTTCACAATACAGAAATGAATACATAAAATACAGGAGTCTCCTGCTGCTATGAGTTCCATGTGTACTCATCCGGTGTATGCGCGTGCGCGCGCACACACACACACACACACACACACACACACACACATTTTTTACTTGAAGCAGGATCACAGTGCACGTACTTCTCAGCAACTTGGTTTTTTTCTATTACCATACCACTGGGGTGTCTTGTTAGGATAGACAGACCTACCTCATTCCTTAAATAGCTGCAGAATAGTCTGCTACCATGGTTCTTTATAGTTGTTCCCTGATGGATGTTCACAGTGTTTCCAGTTTTTCATAATCACAAACATTGCTGCAATGCAATGAACAGCCTTGAACAAACATCCGCGCGAGAGATTCTGGAAGTAGAACTGCACTGAGAGCCATCCCACAGTTTGGGGTGTTGTCATGTGCACCTCCAGTGGCCCTGTGTGCTGGTGTCCCACATCAGGACTATGTCTTGGCTGTCTCCTGCACAGGACCTCGGCCTGTAGTGACTCCCACAGCACCGAGGAGATGCCATCCCCTCCTTTGAAGGCCTCCGTCTTTAATCCGCCTGTCCTGCTCAAGTTCCAGCCTGTGCCCAGACCCAAAGATGACTCAGAGAATGACGCTGGCAGCATAGAGCCCAAGCCCCACAAGAGGGACCCGTAACCTCTTCCCTCCAGACCATGGCCAGAAGAATGAATAAAGTTCCTATGGAGGCTCTTTCCTTGTGCTGGTCTCCCAAGGGGCACAGCACTACCCCTGTCAGGATCCTAGCACAGCCCCCACTGTCCAAAGCACATTGTCTAACTTAGCATAATATGGACTGAATATGGGCCTGGCAGCCCCAGGGACTCCCTGCAGTCCGAAGGGGTTGTTGGGTAGTGTAGGCCCTTCAGCCCAAGTCTGCGTACATTAGATGGTCAGGTCAGTGCTGCTGTGGAGGCCCCTTGCTTGCACTCTAACATGGGACTTCAGCCCATGTGCACTTTGAAAGAGGAATGAGGAGAGAGCGCTGCCCTTCCCTGAAGTGACTGGCCCCTTTCACCTCACTTTACCCACCGAGTTGCACGTCTGCTGTTTCTTCCTACACCTGGTCCCTAACACAAGCCTTATCTGGGTGCAGGTTTAAGAACAGTGATCAGTTTCCTCCCTGGAGATGTTTCCTTTTACGACAGCCCCTCTGTAAGGAATTTCAAAGAGCTGTGATTCTCATTGTCACCTCACTAATGCTGGAATCAAACCTGCATGTGAGATATGAGTCCTTACAAAATGATTGATGACTGCTGGACACTAACAGAAATTGAGCCCTTGTCTATGCCCAGCACCTGGCCTGGGACTGGAGATGATAAACCAAGCAGTTGGGGTTCTACCCTTGAGGAGCTTACACCCTATCCTCTGGCATGGGTATTGTAGGCCAGTACATAGATCAAATTCACTCAGGATTATGAGTTGTGATAAGCCCTATGGGAGCTGAGATGGAGATGTATGGGGCAGTGGTCAGGGAAGGTCTGAGTAGGTGGTATTTAGGTTGAAACCTAGAAAGTGAGCCAGTCATGAGATGACAGGGGGCAAGGACAACTGGCTTTGGGTGACTGTGTGGTACCGTTGAAGAGTGGAGACTAGGACTAGAGAGAATGGAGACGTCAGCTTTGACCAAACGTTGCATTTCAGATCACTGGCTACCCAACTAGACTTCAGGAGTCTGGAGTGCTGGTGATTAAGTGTTGGGAGCCGAGGGAAACAAGTGACATTTAAAGACGTGAGCCTGGGTATCACCTAGTACTTGGGTGTAGATGGTGGTCCAGGGTTTAGACTAGGCCACACGTACCTAGTGATGTAGCCAGAGAGAAGCGTCTGTCAGAAGAGATCGAAGGGATTAGTAATTGGACCTTGAGTCAAGGGATTGGACCTTCAGGCTTAATGGCCACCTACCCCGGGGCCTCTCAGGAGAGGGATCTGGAGGCTGTGGGGACCGAATATGGGCGGTGAGAATGGGAGGTGAACGGGTAGACAGCGAATGTGGACGTCGCTTTGGAGGCGTCTGCCCTGGAGGGGAACAGAGAAAGGGCCGAGGCTGGTGGGATTTTAGGCTCCGGGCGGACTTTTTAACACCTGAGACTCAGGTCCAACCGGGCTGGGCGGATAGGCGAAGCGGACAGGAGACAGCTCAGCCCCGACAGGACGCGGGCCCGCCTGGAAGCAGCCCACCACTGAGCCGGGGCAACCCGGCCTTTTGCTTGGTGCCGCGGACCACAGCTCCCGGCATGCCAAGCGTCCACTTCCGGGGACGGGCCCGAGGCACCCGGAAGTATTTGCGGCGCGGAGGAGACGCCGCGGGCCGAGTCGTTTGTGTGCTGCTGTGCGCAGTTTTGCCGCCGCCGCCGCCGCCGCCATGGGGAAGCGACAGCACCAGAAGGACAAGATGTAAGTTAGGCCGGGAGCCGGCCCCGCGGTGCCGCAGCCCCCGCCCTCCCCGCCTCTGCGCCGCCCTCCTTCCCGCTCGGAGCTGGTCCCCAGAGCCGCTGTCCAAAGTCGCTTCCTCCCGGAAGCCTCGGCCTCCTCCCCGGGCCGGGCAGTCACCGCGGCGGCCGAGGTCTCCCGGGGCCCCGGCTCTCCGTCGTTCCGGAGGCGCCCTCGCGGCCGCTGTGCACACGCCGCCCCGGCGCCCCGCCGGCACAGCCCCCTCGCCTTCGCGTCAGCCCTGCGCGCCCCCTCTTCGCTCGCCATGCCGCCCCTGAATCAGCCCCTTTCTCTCCGCACCTCCCGTCTCTCCCTGTCTGCGGGTTCACGCCCCTCAGTCCGCTCAAACTGCAGAAGCTTCCAGTTTAATACAGACCGACCTTGCCCCGTGTGCCACCGCGTCTCTTTTATATCGTGCATAACAAGATGTGAAAAATCTGCATCTACTTGCTGTTTTCTTCTGTCTCTTGAAACCCTGTAGTCAGGCTTTCGCCCCCAGCACTACTCGTGTCAGGATCCCAGTAACTTCCACGGTGCCAAGTCTGGTGGTCAGTTCTCGGTCCTTATTTTGTTGGGCTTCTGACCTAGACACAGTTGCCCCCGCTTCTCCTTCGGAAGCCCTTTGGTACCCGGGACACCACACTCATTGTTGTCTGTCTACCTTAGGATTCTCTCCTTTCTCTCCTTCGCCGGCTCCTCCCCGTCTCCCAGACCGCAGAGTCCCCGCGCACCAGGTTTATTCTGCGTGTACGTTCTCCCTGGGTGAACTCTCCAGTCTTTGAGGAGTCCCTGCGTACTGGACATTTCCAGTGGTATCTGGTAGACATCTCCGATTCCCTGTGCCCCGCCCCATTCTCCCTGACCCAGTGGTCACACTGCCACTCACTGCTCAGGGCAGAAGTCCAGGAGTTGGCCTGGGTGCCTCCTTCCCTCAGTTCTCCTGTCCATCGGGAAGTCCTGCCGGCTCTTCGAGGGACTGACCACTTCTCCCATAGATAGAGTTTGTACCATTTCCTCCTTGGACATTTATAGCTGCCTCTCTCGCTTGTCCATCTACACCCAGCAGCCAGAGCACTGCTTTGAGAACTTACATGAAATCATGTCCGAGTCCTGCTCAAACCCCTCAAACAACTTTCCATACTGCTTAGAGCAAATACAGCCCTTACAGGGCCTGCAAGGCCCCTCCTGAGCCAATCACCGCCCATGTCCCCTCTCTTGCTGCCACATGCGCCCCGTGCACACCTCTCCGGTGACTTCGCCCTTCTTTGGGAACACACCAGCTTCTCCTGCCCAGGGCGTTTACACATCATGTGCCTGCTTGGAGCCTCTGCTTGGAAAGCTGTCCCCCCAGGCCTTCACATGGCTAGCTCCTCCTCCTCAGGCCGTCTTTTTAATTCAGTTTATTTCCTTCAGAGCAAAGTAGGACTGTTTGTATTTACTTACCCGTGTGTGGATCCTCATGTTCTGTGTATTTACCACTATGTGCCTGACACACAGTACCTGTTGAGTAAGCATTTGCTGAATGAGTGAAGTGCTTCAATCATCAGTTACTTCTAGAGCAGTGAGTTCTCTCTCTTACTCAGGTACATTACCTGTGCTGAATACACTCATTTCTATGGTGGCAAGAAACCAGGTAAGTCATGAAATCCTTTCCTTTCCTTGGCGGTGTGGGGGTATGTAACTAAGGGATGAAGTCTTCACTATACAGTGAGCCTTTAAGAGTCAACAATAGGGATGCTGAAATGTAGTAGGCAAATGGGCTGAGGGCACAGACAATTCACAAAAAAGGAAATACACTAAACACCTGAGAAAATGTTTAACCTTGGTGGTGATTTTTTTTTTTAATGTAGGTTACAATAACATTCTTTATCAAGTTAATAAAAAGTAAAAAGAGTGGTAATACCCAAAGCTATGCTGGCCATGGTGAAAAGAGCACTGTCATGTTGCTGGTGCGAATAAGATTGGCACAGCCTCCTTGGAAGCAAAGCAAAGACCTGTGGCAGGGGTGTTAGTTGGGGCTGTGGCAGGAACCTGACTATGGAGACTTACACAAGTATGTCTTTTTTCTCTAAGTTCTTTCTTGATGTATCCATGTGTGTGTTCTATCTAGTGAAAAGTTTTTAATCTACAGCAGTTTTCACACTGGGTAATTTGCATGAACGTTTCCATATAATTATTGCTAGGAACACATAGGTGAAAATTTTCACAGAATACATTTTCTGTCTTCTATTTTCATTTCAAACAGATATCCCACAAGCAAATTTTCGCCGTTTACCTTTTGACCACTGCAGGTAAGAATTTTGAGAGTTAATCTTTCCCTTGTGGTGTTTCTCTGATACTCAGAGAACACATATTTGACAGTGGAGAGGATATGTGGGTCTGTCTGTGTTTCCCCACCCATTATTTCGGAGGTGACCAAATGATGCTAAGAACTAATGATTATTTTCTTCTTATTCTGTGTCCATTTATGGGCATTATCTTTTAACTTCATTCATACTGTCTGTGGTAGGTAACTCTGTTGTTAAGCCTGTTTTACAGTTGAGAGAATCAGTGCTTAGAAGAGTGAAATCCCTTGCCTTGTGTCACATCCAGGCAGTGGTGCCACTGAGACTTGAACCCAGGCTCCAGGCCTGTGTCTTTCACACTTAACGTTTGGTCCCAAGTCTAAGAAGCAGCAACATCAGTGGCCACAATACCATGCACCCCTTTCCTAGAGACAGGCCACCAGTGGATGTGGGAAGGGACCACTCAGGTGCTTCCCACCCTAGTCGGCGTGTGTATGAACAGAAGTGGGTCTGCTGGGAAAACTGGGACTAGGATCAATGAACCCAACACACTGAGAGTTGGGGGGTGGGCAGGCCTGGCAGTCCCCGTGGGCCTAAGTGTCCCCAGGCTTGAGCTGTGGTCATCTCTGCCCTGGGCACTTGCCTATCTACAGAGCATGTGCCTCCGGCCCCCCACCCCCCAAAGAGTTCTGATTTCATAGGTCAGGGTCAGGGTGAGCCTTGAGCACTAACAGAGTGTCCCTGGCGATCTGGCATCCTGGTTACAGCAAGTCAGCCTGGTGCCACAGGGTGCTGAGGGTGCAGGGAAGGCCGCTGGACCTGCCTGGGGCCCCAGGATGCAGTGGTGAGGGAGGGCTCCTTCAGCTCAGGCACTTGCTTGGTGGGGGGACCACGAGAGGCCCCAGCGCCAGTGGCGGTATTTCTCCCCCTTCCACCAGATTTTGTGATCAGCCTCATGGGAATGTG